TTTGGAATGAGGATGAGCAGAATAAAAAAACTTTGTTTTCCTGTTTTTGTTTGCTGTTTATGTTGTGAGTTTTTGCCGCAAATATGGAACAGACCATTTAAAACATTGTTATGTATATTTTACTGACTAGACGTTTCCAGCTAGTAAGACTGTGCAGTACGCTAATTGTGACACGAATAGTTGCTAGTCAGGTAAGGGAAGACCCTTCGTCCACAGGGAAAGTTATCTTAGACGTACCACTAAAATGTTGAAAAGACAATAAAATCTAAAAATCTGCTCAAACGGAATCAAATGTTCTTCTTAGTTAGCCATTGGTTTAAAAAAAGCACAATGCCCTTACTTACTTACTTTGACCTCTTCGCACGATGACGTAGAGAATGCCTCCAAAAAAATATTATATATCGTCATGGTCTTGTTTTCAAATCATCTCAGTCCCGAAAGTTCTCTCAATTTCACTGGGTCTGCCTGTAGGGACATCTTTTACCATTTGGGCTTCAACGATGGGGCAACTTTAGTAGAAAACGTTCATAGCATGAATGACCTCTCTGTCCATCTCGCTCTCTTTATTTGCTGGGTGAGCTGGAGGATTGGCGCTTCTGTCGCACATTCAGGAACAGAAGCAAGCAAAAACCAGCATTAAACCGCCTATCAGAGTCTGTTGGATTGAGGATCCACCAAAGAAAGTCAAACGTCCTAAGGACTGATGCACAACGAAAGGATCAGGTTACAATAGAAGGAAATGCACTAGAAGACGTTGAATCCTTCTGCTACCTTGAGAGTATAATTGACAGAGAGGGAGGTACAGGTGCTGAAATAAAGTCCCGCATTGAAAAAGCACAGGTTGCTTTCATATCTTTGAATATGATTCGGAAGACCAGAGATATCTCACTTTGAACAAAACTGAGGATTTTCAATTCAAATGTGAAGTCAGTCCTGTTGTATAGATGTGAAATATGGAACGCATCACAGACTTGCATAAAAGTGATCCAGGTTCTCTGGAACAAGTGTCTAAAAAAGTTCCTGAGGATCAGATGGACAGACAGCGTCACCAACGAGGAAGTGTTCAGGAAAACAAGACAAATCCCAGTCAGAGATGAGTTAGGAAGAAGGAGGTGGCGATGGATTGGACATGCTCTTAGGAAACAGGAAGCTGCATAACAAAGAAAGTGTATGACTGGAATCCACAGGGTAAAAGATCAAGGGGAAGACTGCGTGGAACCTGGAGAAGAATAAA